TTGTTTCAATGGGATCATTTCAACAACTGGCGTAAGAGTGTAACTTTCAAAATTCAGAGAACACAAATCAAAACAAAATGCAGGAAAACTGTCAAACGCAGAGTAAATGCCAATTTACATGTATGATTAAATATATTCTAATATAATATGTAACAATATTCATCCAAGCGATTGGTAAAGTTACCGTTTTACCCTTAAACTTCGTCTAAGTTTTACTTTTCAAACATATTATTCGCTTTTCCAATAACACATACACACATGCATATAATTACTTGTATTATTTAGTTTATGGAAGATTGAGTATATAATTCATACATTATGCGAACAGAGTAAATAAGCACTAGAATGCTACATGGACAAAGATAGCTTCAACATTTACACAATATGATAAGTAAGAGAAAGTTGCTTGCTTGTAAGTTCCAGTTTCAGAGTTATACATATTTTTTCATTCTAATTTTAATGGATGGCTAAAAATATTTACTCTTCATCCGATGTTAATATGGCCCTTACTTTATTTCTTGCTGGTTAGTGGTTGCTGAACATGTTATGCACATGTGCCTGGCAGTGATCAGGGTTCTACAAAGTTCTTCAAAGTCATCTGGGGGCATGTCTGAAATATTCTTCACCACTTCAGCATAATAGTCCACTGCCGCACCTGTAAGCGAAACTAATCTTTTTTAAAGTGTCAATCGTAAGGTGCGGAAAGTGATGCAATGGGTTTTGCACAACCAATCATTAGATGCCTTATAACATATAATTTATTTTTTGAGTGCACGAAATAAAAGTCGCTGAAAGCAAGTGTGCTTTTCATGTACGCCTTTGCATAATCAGACATTTGATAACTTCGTTAGCTGCCATCTTTTGTGTAAATTGTAGCCCAAAAAGTCTATCCCTATCTTTACAATAAGCCTGCCATCTACGATATACAAACACGTACATACAAATAAAAAGAAAATGATATAGCGTGAAATGTATTATTATACACTTCTAATCTTACAGTCCAGTTACCGTCGGTTGTTACATTGGTGTTATGGAGTACATGTATAAGATACTGTTAAATATCTCTAAATATCATGGCTATTACTTACTGGAAAGTCGTGGAAGGTTTGAATCCTGTAGCCGATCCTTTAGGTCTCTAATCTTTGTACAATTGTTCTTGTCGGCCCAGTTTTTCAGTTCCTGCACTTTTTGGAATTGAAAGACGTCAGGGAAGTTTGTGCTCAGGTTGGTCTGGTTAATAATGGTGTATTCAGCAGGATCTAATAGTTCAGCAAGGTGCTCCAAAGTCCTGGTCTGTGCATACCCCTGTAAATATGACATCAATTTAGTTATTTTACAGGAACTGGTATATTTGATGAAACAGTTATTAAAATATCGTCCATGAACTCAGGACTCGCGCAGTTATAATCCAGGACACTTGACCTCTACACATCTGCCTTCCTATTGAATCTTAATTGGTCATATAATTTAACAGTATTGGGCCATACTTGATCATGTAATTTAATATCTAAAATAATTTTCAAATGAATACATCTGATTAATGGTACTCCCGAGGCGATGTTAAAAAATACACATAAATGTGATAAAAATAAACTGCTTTGAAACAAATACTCGAATTTATGTATTTTTCAACTGCTGATCGACACTCCATATATCATAATCCAATGCTATTTAAGGGCTAAAGGTTGACCACGTTCACACCGCTACATGTATACCTGTATATCTGGTATTTCAAAACGCCTCAGCAGTTCTGTTACGGTAGCGTGTTCTTTGCCTTTTGCCAACATTCTTGGTGTCTTTCCTTCCTGTAATAGCAACACTTATGTTACTTACTGTATGAGGAGGAAAATGTAGCTGTTAAGTGCAATGTAGTGAAATGGTGCTTTCCCGTAAAACGGTCTTAATATGGTTTCTTAAAAAAAGTGTAGCCATATTCCTGTGCATTGACTCTTTCACATTTACCTTATTCTGTATACTGGAATCCGCCCCGTGTTGGAGGAGAAGCTGAACACTTTGTGTGTAGCCGAACCTGGCAGCTACGTGAAGTGGTGTCCACCCATCCTGAGAATATGGACAAAGAATGTGAGTAAACAGATAATCCATGCCGTAGAATCATGTTTATTTCCACGGGGTGTTCAAAGTAATCAGCTATAAACAAAAAATCGGTAAGCAAAGATTCTCACTGTGATATGTACAGGGTATAAACAATGAGATTCAATACATGCTTTAAGATCATTAGTTATAACTTGAAAGATCGCTACGCAGGATATGTAAACCTTGCACAAAAACCTCTCAGGAACATCAGAAAAGACATAATTTAGTTGTACGCAAGTGTAGCCATATTACTATGCTTAGAATATTCTACACTCACTTTAGTCTGTATACTGGCATCCGCCCCGTGTTGGAGGAGAAGCTCAACACAATGATAGGTCAAGGCAGCCACATGAAGTGGTGTCAACCCATGCTGAAAATATGGACAAACAATGTGAGTAAACGGATAATCCATGCCGTTGACTCATGTTTATTTGCACCGGCTTTTTCAAAGTAATCGGCTATAAAAAAATCGGTAAGCAAAGATTCTCACTGTAATATGTACAGCGTATATACAATGAAATTCGTTACATGCTTTAAGATCATTAGTTATAACTTGAAAGATCGCTAATGCCCCTATTTCACACAGATCACGAATCCCACGAATCGCCAGGAATTAAAAATTTCAGGATTCGTGGTTGAATCGTAATCAGTTCGTGAAGTTCTTAACAGATTCGTATATAATCGTAGTCAGTTCTTGCACTTCTTGATCAATCGGGAATTCGTGGCAAAAATTTTTAGCTGTTCAAAGTTTTGGCCACGAACTCCCGATTCCAAAAAATCGTAGTGAATTTCTGGACAATATTCGTGCGATTCAAGCCGAATCCCAGAATATTCGTAACAATATCGCACCTGTATCGTAACTGAATCGTAGAGCGTGTCGAATTAGGAACTTCAGAAAAGACATAATGTAGTTGTACGCAAGTGTAGCCATATTACTATGCTTAGAATATTCTACACTCACCTCAGTCTGTATATTGGTATCCGCCCCATGTTGGAGGAGAAGCTGGACACATTGTGTGTGGCCCTTGTAGGCAGCCAAGTGAAGTGATGTCCACCCATCCTGAAAATAAGGACAAACAATGTGAGTAAACAGATAGGTCGTGTTGCAGAAACATGCTTAGATTTCATTCGGGGTTTAAAATTATCAGTAACAAACAAAAATCATTTAGCACAATTTCTCAATGTGATATGTGCAGGGTATAAACAATGTGAATCGATACATGCTTTAAGATCATTGGTTATAACTTGAAAGACCGCTTTGCAGGATATGTAAACCTGGAACAATAGCTTCTAATGCCTACATTGGAAAAGACATGCAGTTATACGCAAGTGTAGTAATATTGCTATGCTAAGAATATTCTACACTTACCTTAGTCTTTATACTGGTATTCGCCCCGTGTTGGAGGAGAAGCTGAACACATTGTGTGTGGCCCAACAAGGCAGCCCAGTGAAGTGGTGTCAGCCCTTTCTGAGAATATGGACAAACAATGTGAGTAAACAGATAATCCATGTTGCAGAATCAAATTTATTTCCACTGGGTGTTTAAAGCAAAAATTAGAAACTAAAATCGAATAGCAAAAAATCTCACTGTGATATGTTAACGATATAAACGATGTGATTCAATACATATTTTAAGATGATTACTTACAACTAATGAGAAAGATCGCTAAGCAGAATATGTCAACCATGTACAATAACTCCTCACTTCGGGAAAGATATGTAGTTAAACACAAGTGTAGCGATATTCTACACTCACCTTAGCCTGTATATTGGTATCAGCCCCGTGTTGGAGGAGAAGCTGAACACATTGTGTGTGGCCCAACAAGGCAGCCCAGTGAAGTGGTGTCCGCCCATACTGAGAATATGGACAAACAATGTGAGTAAACAGATAATCCGTGTTACAGAATCAAATTTATTTCCACTGGGTGTTTAAAGCAAACATTTATAAACTAAAATCGAATAGCAAAAAATCTCACTGTGATATGTTAACGATATAAACGATGTGATTCAATACATATTTTAAGATGATTACTTACAACTAATAAGAAAGATCGCTATGCAGAATATGTAAACCATGTACAATAACTTCTCACCTCGGGAAAGATATGTAGTTAAACACAAGTGTAGCGATATTCTACACTCACCTTAGCCTGTATATTGGTATCAGCCCCGTGTTGGAGGAGAAGCTGAACACATTGTGTGTGGCCGCCCTTGGCAGCCAGGTAAAGTGGTGTGCACCCACACTGAGAATATAGACAAACGATGTGAGTAAGGAGATAATCCATGTTGCAGAATCAAATTTATTTCCACTGAGTGTTTAAAGCAATCAGTTATAAACTAAAATCGATAAGCAAAAAAATCTCACTGTGATATTTAAAGGGTATAAACAATAAGATTCGATACATGCTTTAAGACCATAAGTTAGAACTTAAAACATAGACCGTAAAGCGGAATATGTAAACCTTGCAGAAAAACTTCTCATGAACTTCAGAAAAGACATAATGCAGTTGTACGCAAGTGTAGCCATATTTCTATATTTAGAATATTCTGCACTCACCTTAGCCTGTATACTGGTATCTGCCCCGTGTTGGAGGAGAAGCTGAATACATTGTGTGTCTCCGCACTCGGCAGCGCAGTGAAGTGATGTCCACCCATTCTGAGAATATGGACAAACAATGTGAGTAAACAGATAATCCGTGTTGCAGAATTTAATTTATTTCCACTGGGTGTTCAAAGTAATCAGCTATAAAAAAATCGGTAAGCAAAGATTCTCACTGTAATATGTACAGGCTATAAACAATGATATTAGATACATGCTTTAAGATCATTAGTTATTACTTGAAAGATCGCTAAGCAGGATATGTAAACCTGGAACAATAACTTCTAATGTACATCGGAAAAGACATGTAGTTATACGCAAGAGTAGCAATATTGCTATGCTAAGAATATTCTACACTCACCTTATCCTGTATATTGGTATCAGCCCCGTGTTGGAGGAGAAGCTGGACACATTCGGTGTGGCCGCCCTTGGCAGCCACCAGAAGTGGTGTCCACCCATTCTGAAAATATGGACCCACAATGAGAGTAAACAGATAATCCATGCCGTAGAATCATGTTTATTTCCACTGGGTGTTTAAAGTAATCAGCTATAAACAAAAAATTGGTAAGCAAAGATTTTCACTGTGATTTGTACAGGGTATACACAGTAAGATTCGATACATGCTGTAAGATAATTAGTTATAACTTGAAAGATCGCTAAACAGGATATGTAAACCTCGCAATAACTTCTAATGTACATCGGAAAAGACATGTAGTTTTACGCAAGAGAAGCAATATTCCTATGCTAAGAATATTCTACACTCACCTTAGCCTGTATATTGGTATCAGCCCCGTGTTGGAGGAGAAGCTGGACACATTGCGTGTGGCCGCCCCTGGCAGCGCAGTGAAGTGGTCTCCACCCATTCTGAGAATATGGACAAACAATGTCAGTAAACAGATAATCCATATTGCAGAATCAAATTTATTTCCACTGGGTGTTCAAAGTAATCAGCTATAAAAAAATCGGTAAGCAAAGATTCTCACTGTGATATGTACAGGCTATAAACAACCAGATTAGATAGGCTACATGCTTTAAGATCATTAGTTATTACTTGAAAGATCGCTAAGCAGGATATGTAAACCTGGAACAATAACTTCTTATGTACATCGGAAAAGACATGTAGTTATACGCCAGTGGAGCAATATTGCTATGCTAAGAATATTCTACACTCACCTCAGACTGTATATTGGTATCAGCCCCGTGTTGGAGGAGAAGCTGGACACATTGCGTTTGGCCGCCCCTGGCAGCCTGGTGAAGTGGTGTCCATCCATTCTGAAAATATGGACCAACATTGAGAGTAAACAGATAATCCATGCTGTAGAATCATGTTTATTTTCACTGTGTGTTTAAAGTAATCAGCTATAAACAAAAAAAATGCTAAGCAAAGATTCTTACTGTGTTTGTACAGGGTATACACAATAAGATTAGATACATGCTTTAAGATCATTAGTTATAACTTGAAAGATCGCTAAGCAGGATATGTAAACCTGGAACAATAACTTCTAATGTACATCGGAAAAGACATGTAGTTATACGCAAGAGTAGCAATATTGCTATGCTAAGAATATTCTACACTCACCTCAGCCTGTATATTGGTATCAACCCCTTGTTGGAGGAGAAGCTGGACACATTGCGTGTGGCCGCCCCTGGCAGCCTCCTGAAGTGGTGTCCACCCATTCTGAAAATATGGACCAACAATGAGAGTAAACAGATAATCCATGCCGTAGAATCATGTTTATTTCCACTGGGTGTTCAAAGTAATCAGCTATTAACAAAAAAAATGGTAAGCAAAGATTCTCACTGTGATTTGTACAGGGTATAAACAATAAGATTCGATACATGCTTTAAGATCATAAGTTATAACTTAAAACAAAGATCGCTAAGCAGGATATGTAAACCTGGCACAATAACTTCTAATGTACATCGGAAAAGACATGTAGTTATACGCAAGAGTAGCAATATTGCTATGCTAAGAATATTCTACACTCACCTTAGCCTGTATACTGGTATCCGCCCCGTGTTGGAGGAGAAGCTGGACACATTGTGTGTGGCCCTGGTTGGCAGCGCAGTGAAGTGGTGTCTGGTCATGCTGAGAATATGGACAAACAATGTGAGTAAACAGATAATCCATGTTGCAGAATCAAATTTATTTCCACTGGATGTTTAAAGCAATCAGTAATAAACTGAAATCGATGAACAAAAAAAAAAACATCAATGTGATATGTAAAGGATATAAGCGATGTGATTCGATACATATTTTAAGATGATTACTTATAATTTAAGGGAAAGATCGCTAAGCAGAATATGTAAACCTTGTACAATAACTTCTAATAAACTTTGAGAAATATATGTAGTAATACGCAAGTGTACAATATTGTTATGCTTAGAATATTCTACACTCACAATATCCTGTATACTGGTATCTGCCCCGTGTTGGAGGAGAAGCTGGACACATTGAGTGTGGCCGTGCCCGGCAGCCACGTGAAGTGGTGTACACCCAATCTGAGAATATGGACAAACAATGTGAGTAAACAGATAATCCATGTTGCAGAATTAAATTTATTTCCACTAGGTATTTAAAGAAATCAGCTATAAACAAAAAATTGGTAAGCAAAGATTTTCACTGTGATTTGTACAGGGTATAAACAATAAGATTCGATACATGCTTTTAAGATGATAACTTATAATTTAAGAATTCTAATAAACTTCAAGAAATATATGAGGTTATACGCAAGTGTACCGATATTGCTATGCTTAGAATATTCTACACTCACCTCATCCTGTATACTGGTATCAGCCCCGTGTTGGAGGAGAAGCTGGACACATTGTGTGTGGCCGTGCCTGGCAGCCCAGTGAATTGGTGTACGCCCAATCTGAGAATATGTACAAACAGTGTGAGTAAACAGACAATTTATGTTGCAGAAACATGCTTATTTTCATGCAGGGTTTAAAATTATCAGTAATTAACAAAAATCGGTCAGCAGAAATTCGCACTATCATATGATATGTATAAACAATGTCGTGTCGAAAAACATGTTTGGGACAATAGTCTTTAAGAATAAGGCTTTAAGAAAAGAATTAACAGTAACAAGAAGGAAGAGGAGCAGTAAGGAGTGAGGCAGTTACTTAGAGAATGCCCACGGAATTTGTAATGGGTCGTTTCTGCAATAGTGTAAATACTTCAGTTTGTATCCTTACTGTAATAATAAATAGCTAAACGATATCGTGACTAGTGACAGAGTAATTAACGTTGTTACCCAGTCCTGGACATTGATGTTGCACTCCCCGGCAGTCAGCAGTTCCTGTAAACTCTGTGTAGCTCCACCCCTTGCAGCCCAGAGAAGCCTACTGTCAGCCATACTGGCTAGCTGCTATACCGTGGATATTCTTGCGAAGAGCAATGAACGANCTTCTAATGAACTTCGGAAAAGACATATACATGTAGTTGTGTGCAACTGTAGCAATATTGCTATGCTAAGACTATTCTACACTCACCCCAGTCTGTATACTGGTATCCGCCCCGTGTTGGAGGAGAAGCTGAACACATTGTGTGTGGCCGCCCTTGGCAGCCAGGTGAAGTGGTGAACTCCCATTCTGAGAATATGGACAAACAATGTGACTACACATAAAATCCATGTTGCAGAATCATGCTTATTTCTGTGCAGAGTTTTAAATTATCAGTTACAAACAAAAATAATTTAGCGCAAATTCTCAGTGTGATGTGCGAAGGGTATAAACAATGTGAATCGATACATGCTTTAGGATAATTACTTATAACCTTAAAGATTGCTAAGCAGGATATGTAAACCTCGCACAATAATCTTTAATGAACTTTGGGAAAGACATATACATGTAGTTGTGTGCAACTGTAGCAATATTGCTATGCTAAGACTATTCTACACTCACCCCAGTCTGTATACTGGTATCCGCCCCGTGTTGGAGGAGAAGCTGAACACATTGTGTGTGGCCGCCCTTGGCAGCCAGGTGAAGTGGTGAACTCCCATTCTGAGAATATGGACAAACAATGTGACTACACATAAAATCCATGTTGCAGAATCATGCTTATTTCTGTGCAGAGTTTTAAATTATCAGTTACAAACAAAAATAATTTAGCGCAAATTCTCAGTGTGATGTGCGAAGGGTATAAACAATGTGAATCGATACATGCTTTAGGATAATTACTTATAACCTTAAAGATTGCTAAGCAGGATATGTAAACCTCGCACAATAATCTTTAATGAACTTTGGGAAAGACATATACATGTAGTTGTGTGCAACTGTAGCAATATTGCTATGCTAAGACTATTCTACACTCACCCCAGTCTGTATACTGGTATCCGCCCCGTGTTGGAGGAGAAGCTGAACACATTGTGTGTGGCCGCCCTTGGCAGCCAGGTGAAGTGGTGAACTCCCATTCTGAGAATATGGACAAACAATGTGACTACACATAAAATCCATGTTGCAGAATCATGCTTATTTCTGTGCAGAGTTTTAAATTATCAGTTACAAACAAAAATAATTTAGCGCAAATTCTCAGTGTGATGTGCGAAGGGTATAAACAATGTGAATCGATACATGCTTTAGGATAATTACTTATAACCTTAAAGATTGCTAAGCAGGATATGTAAACCTCGCACAATAATCTTTAATGAACTTTGGGAAAGATATTTAGTTGTACAGAAATGTAGCGATATTGCCATGCTTAAAATATTCGACAATCACCTCAAGCTGTATACTGGTATCCGCCCCGTGTTGGTGGAGAAGTTGAACACATTGTGTGTGGCCGAAAAAGACAGCCCAGTGAAGTGGTGTCAGGCCGCACTGTGGATATGTACAAACAATGTGATTACACGTTAACGACATACGCGTTGAAAAAACGTGTATAGGACAATAAGTTTTGAGAATAAGGTTTTAAAAAGAAAATACTCTTAAGTAACCAGTCCTCAATCAAAAAGGGAGGCCAACTGAGATCGAAGCAAATCTCGCCGTGGAGTCGAATTTTTCGCAAGATTTTACAAGAAGTGAGGTTAAAATACGGTTACCGCGAGAAAGTACGAGGGCAGGGATTTCTCTACTTGGAAAATATCTGAACTCACCGAATCTTTGAGTCAGAGATTTGCACTTTTCACATTATGAAGAAGAAATATTGAGAGAATCTGTACGTGTAACTGGCATATTGGATTTGCCTAGGTTAGAGCCAAATGACGCGTGCAAAGCAAAACCGCCCGGATGACGTACTGCGTAGCAATGGCCACGTTTAAAGAGGCTGTATGATCAGACATTTGTGGTTTAGGTAAATATCATTTAGTACAATACTGGTTAAAGACGTCGCCTTAAACCTTTGTAGATGTGTATAAGCCTTGAATCGCCGTTTTCATGATAAATTTATAGTAGTTTGCGCTGAAACAATTTAAAAAAATTGAAACATGCCAATTAAGACCAAAGCATATCGGTGAACGAAACCAGATACTACATTGTACACAATGCATAATCTCTGAATGTGGTAGGCCTATATTTACCAAAGAGCTGATACGTACTCGGTATGGGTTTCTTGCTGTCAATACATCGATATCTGGTCCCTTCCATATATGTAGACATTGTCATGTTTATATCATAAACGCCGTGGAGTATAACGTAGGGGGTGGTAGAAAGGGGTGAGGCAGTTACTAGGAGAATACTAAATAGTTCGACAATGACGTGACTATAGTGACAGAGTAATAAACGTTGTTACCCTGCCCTGGACATTGATGTCGCACTCCCCGGCAGTCAGCATTTCCTGTAAATTCTGTATGTCTCCGTCCACTGCAGCCTTAAGAAGCCTTCTGTCAGCCATATTGGCTGGCTGCTATACCATGAACGGTATTTCTAAAATAAGATGCAATTTTCATTACAAGGCACTGATAAAAATACCAGTTTTACCATATTTTCTGACTAAACATGGACAGACCCACGGTATACCTGTGTCAAATACAAGGGCAGGACCAGAGTAGTGTGGAAGGTTTGAAACGCATTTTTTGGGGTTTAGTGGATCCGAATGTGAATACAGTGTTGGATCCAGGGGCGGACACAGAGGACACGTGTGTTCCCCTTAGTTATCCCCTGAGATATCCCCTTAGCACCCTTCTCACTCTCCAAATCACAGTCCAAAAAAAGTCTCTCTCCAGACCTGTCATCTCATGTTACCATGGCAGTAAAATTGTCTTTATCTGAAAGGGAAGCCTGACTAATTTCCTATCCTTGTGCTTTCCTCTATCCTCCTCCACCTACAAATACTTGGGTCAGCCAGTGAAATTATTTTGTTTGATGGACATTTAATAAACATTTTAAAATGATAAACTGAAAAGATAGAGCTTTAAAAGATATCTAAAAGTTAATCAAACCAAATAGGTGGCGTTTACATGTATTGCTCCTCTATATGTGTGTGTGTGTGTGTGTGTGTGCGTGTTGGGTGGGAGTGTGCTTGTACGTAGGCGTGTGTTTGCAAATATTTGTGTGATCTATATGCGGACATTAATGTGTTCCTCTGTCAAAGTTTGTTGTGAAGTGATATTCCTCTTAGGTTTTAACAAAACAATATACGTAAGCAGATTATAGTACAGGAGTACAAATATAGGAACATGTCGTCTCGTATGTAGCTAAGATCTAATATATGGTATATTAGATCTTAGTATGTAGTAATACATATACCAATGGCGGAAATAGGATTATTTGAAAGGGGGGCGGGCGGGCGATGCGAAGCAGACCCCCCCCCCTTGGTGTGGGGTTCAGGCCCTCTGAAGCCCCCCCCCCCCCCCAAAAAAAAAAAAAAAAAAAAAAAAAAAAAA